CTTGACCTAGAGGACCAAAAGCATCCAGGGGAACCTTATAGACATGACTAGAATCTAATGTAACTGTTGTCACGGTGTATACATCCACTCCGGCACCTCCTTGGGTGCTGCTACTAAGCTGGCTGAGGAGGCCTGTGGAGGGGCTGTGCCCTCATTTGTGTCAGAGCACAGTTCCCCTGTGTGCTCTTGTGCACGTTTCTCGAATCCGTCAAAAGCTGACCATTGGCATTGTATCTAGATTTACATTGATCTGCAAAATGACCTGGCTTGTGACATCTAGCACACAAGAACTTTCCCTTTCCTTTTTTATTGTGCTGCACCTGCCAAGCCTTACCCTGAGCATCTTTTTGCTTCTGGGAACCACCCTGGCAGCCTGCTTGTTTTAATGTTAGAGCAGCAGCCAGAGCAGACATTTTGTGCTCCACAGAGCCCACTTTGGCACATGCTCGGACCATCTCTGGTATTGAGAGGTCTCCTGGAAGAGCCTCTATGATCTTCCTACAATCCTCATTAGCATTATCCCTTGCTGGTTGTTTACACAAGAGCTGTATCATCTTCAATTTGTTTCTCCAAGGCTGCTGCAATTTTTTCAACAAATGGCAAGAAGGGTTCCTTTAAACCCTGTGTGATGGTCACATATTGTGCCCTGGGAGCAGCTGTTTCTGTAGTCTTCAGCAGTGCTCCAATACCAATTTTTTTCCCTTGCTCAAGGACTCTAGAATCCCAATGGGCATGGAGATCAGGATTGGAATACTCGCCCGCTCCTGTAAGGACTTCCAGTCTGACCCCACATCTGGGATCGTGCACAGGCAGACGCGTATTCTCGTCTGCAGCCCTCTGAGCCATCTGCCTCCAATTATCTTCAAAAACTTTAAATTGCACAGGCTGAAATAATACTTGAGCCAGGTGTCTAATATCAAACAGGGCAAGCAGATCAGTGTCTATCACCCTGATGATTTGCATAACCTTGGGAGATCCGAGCCCGTATTGTGCTACCTTACTCTGTATATCCTGTACTACCTTCCATGCCATTATATCATGCCTGTCAGTCTGTCCCGTATTCAGGGCAGCCTTAAACACATGGAAGGCTTGGGCGGCCCCTGTGGTGCATCTTCGACTTCCTGATCCATCCGGACCCATTCATCAGAAGCCAAAGTGGCTCCCAGTCCTCCCTCTGTCTCCCCCGCCCCAGCACCCATGGTGTCAAAAATTCCGGTCCTGGGTGTTCCCAGCCTCTCGAGTAACTCCCAATCCCCCGTTTCCAAATCTCGCTGTTTCACTGCATCCCAAAAATGCCCTGGACACTTCGGACATGTGGCCACTGGACGGGGTGGGAATGTCCTGAGATGGTTCCGGGGCGGGCTTGCAGCTGGGCCATTCCAGGCACCAGAAGAGGTGGGCGGGCTGGCTTCTTCGGGCAGTGTGGACTGTCACTCGGAAGCCAAAGAAGGCACAGCGTCAGGACAGCAGCAGCAGGCCTGGGAAAGAGGCGGTGCTGGCACAGGCGTGGGCCCTGTGGAGGGCAGCGGGTGGGAAAAATGCATGTCTCCCCCCGCTGCACCGGTGGGCTGTGGCGGGGGCGTCCGTGCTGTCCCTAGCAGCACAGGAAAAAGGGACGCAGAGGGCGCAGGGGGGGGCTGAAGGACACCATAGACAACGAAGGCCCCCCTGCGACCACCCACGGTGACACTCACGGTGCCAGTGAAGGCGCTGCGGAGGGCGCAGGCAGAGGTGGGCAGACTCCGTTCCCCTGCTGCCTCTCTGTTGACGAAGCTTGCACGCCCAACTCCACGGGTGACAGATACTTAAACTCTCAGGGAGCAGGAGACTTCTGGGGCACAGACTGTTTCTGCCCCCCCGCCAAGTCCTCTGAGGGTCCGGGCAGAGCCGAGGGAGCGCTACACTGCCCGTCCTCGGTCCCGTCCCCCAGTCTCTCATGGTATACAAAAGAGGCACCCCCGGCATCCAAATCCTCCATCCCAGCATCACTGTCCCCAGACTGGCACCACTCCAACATTCTAAAGAGCATGCCCCAGGTGGCCGCCAGGCTGCACACGCTGGAATCTCCTTCAGTTAACTCAGACCATAGGCGGTCTCCCACTAACAGCCAAACTTCGAAATCAAAGGCATTATTGACAGTCACACTAAAACCCTGCGCTTTCTCCCACTGGAACAAAATGCACATAGCATCTTCAGAAATATCGAGTCCCATGCGTGGCAAGGCGTTCTGCCACTCAGAGAAGATAAGTTGATCATCAGTTGAACTTCGGTTCCCCATCGTGAGGACCGTCTATCTTGACGGCCCACGAATGCAATTACACAAATGCAGTGGCTTAACCCAGGACTTTAAGCTCTAGCTTCGTCAAGATAAGCCATTCCAGTCCCGCTCACTGGCAGGGCCCTACTATCCTGTGGTCTGAAAGACCAGCTCCCTTCAGGAGAGCACAGGAGATATATGCTTACCCCCTCTGTGGAGGAAGCGGGTGGCACATCGTCAGTTGGCTGCACCGAGCGTCAGGGTCACCAGATGTCGCTCTATTGGGAACGGCGAGAAGAATGACATAGACTCTCTTGTGAGTTGAACAGGAGAGTTCTTTCTCTCTTCAGGTTTATTACTTCAGATCTTCTTTTATGACCCATATGTGAAAGTACAGAAAAGTAAAACTCTTATTGGTTAGTAAACTAACACATCGCCATCATTGGTCAGTGGGGTACACCACCCCTCGACCTTCTCTTGCAAGGAAACAAGAAACTGACAAACAGCACCTGCAAGGCTGTTTTCTATCTCTGAAGATTGTTTTAATTCCTCCTTATGATTTCCCAGGCCACTTTCTCAGGCAAGACTGAGAAAGTTATGCGGCCTGCTATTCCACAGGCACTGTGCTCCCTGTTTCATAGTTAGCATCTATACCTGTGTAGATTTATATATGTATATACATTTAAACAAAAATAAGTAAGTAAGTATGTGTAAGGCTATACAGGCCTGTAATGTATATGAGTGTTCTTCCTCCCTCAGAATCCTGCTGGGTTCTCTGCACAGCATCTGCAGTAATGGCTGACAGGAGCTACAATCACAGTTATCTAATATGTGGCCACATCCCCTTTCCACCCCAGTGTTTGAATTCTGGTTTGAGCACCCATCCAATGCAGATGGAAATCAACAGTGAATTTAGCTACAAGTACTGCAAAACATGTACAAACTGGCACTGTGAGCCTGAAATTGGCCAGATGCATACAGGCTGACATTAAAAATGCTGAACTTAATTTTCTGACACCCAAGTGATTCTACGTCGTAGTTCCATCTGTTTTTCCAAAGTATATGATGATACATCTGCACACGGCATTTAATGATTGCCTGCAATGGCTGAACACATTTTGACACAGAATAACATTTTTCTCCTGGGCCTGTTCCTTAGGAATGGATAGCCCACTTGTGCTAAAGCTTTAAATTAGGAACAAATCATCCTGAAACAGGCACCAGACATGGATTATTTCAACTGAGATATGTGCAAAAGCAAAAACATGCTCATGAGCAAAGAAGAGAGCTTAGAATGAGTGTTGTTAACCTGAGCTGCAACTAATGATACAAGTATCAAAAATTGCACTTCTGCAGCACCCTCAGGAGGATTGGTTTTGACTCCATGTTCTAAATGGTCATGACCATGTGCTTGCCTTTGGTCTTTCAAGTGACTATTTCACACCTGTAATCTTTCAAATAGACAGTCCCACAGCTGTTGTGCTGTACAAGCTCAGACCTCTTCACCTTTCACATTAAGATCCAGACCACTGCTTCATGACTACATTAAAAACAAAACAGAAAAATAGCACTTCAATCAATGTCCTGAGAATTGTGGAATTCTAGAGGATGAGGTTTTTGTACAACTAGACTTTTTTTTTAGAGAGCCATTGTTGTAATCCTCTCTTGGGGGGACCCCTTTGTCTCACCCCCTGTGGTGAGATCCCCACGCCTCACTGGACACGGGCGGTGGAGGGGGTCCTGGAGTGGATACAACACGGACTCAAAGTATCTAGACGCTGGAGGCCCAAACTTGCTGGAATAATCCCGGGTTTATTGTATGTCATCCATCCGGGGCAAGAAAGAGACCGAAAAGCCTTGGGGCTTATCTCTTATACTAGGGGGCGGGGGTGATCGGGGGATACAGAGAGGTCACAGCCAATGGGAAGGGGGAAGGGAAAAATGGTTCTCAGGTAGGAACTAACATTACACAAACCAGAGGTGAGTTTTACCCTTGGGAGATACCAAGATTTTTAGATGCACTACAACAAGCCATTTTTACCATTTCTATTGTTACAGCAATTTTATATATTCTATGTGTCTATTCTAAAAAAGTAAAAATAATAATAAAAAAATATGCTCTGTTCCCACAATATTGTTTATTTTACCAAACTGTTCAGTGTCCAGTTAGTGATAAAAAAGAACTACTAGTAGTGAAAATATTTAATGATTTGATTTGCAACTATTTATGTGTGCTTAAGTTTGAAAGCAAGAACAAGTTTATATTCTGAATACAAGTAATACCCCTTGCTGATTTTCAGCAAGTCACATGTTTGTCTGCCCTGCTTAATGTTGCACTGAATTGGTCTGAGAAAGGAAGGTGAAAAAATTAAATTCCATGAATATCAAGCATTTTTCCTTTTTCGTCCCTCATTTCTCAACCTGTTTATTATGAAAATGATGAAAAGTGAAGTTTTCTTGTTCTCCTCATTGCTTTCCACTTAATCAGATCCTTTTCAATCAATTCCAAACAAAATACGGATACTTGATTTAAGTGTCTATCAGGTGGCTTCCCTATATGTTGTACAGGCCTGTATTATAAAATTAAATGGCATGGTGGTGAAAGTCTCCTATGTTTCCTTAGAGGACCATAAGGAGAAAACTTGCAGACCCACACAAAATATCTGCAGATTTAATGGTGGCTACCTAATGTACTACACCTATAACATTTATAGTGAAAGTTATATTTCTGGATTGTTTTTAGAAATTGACCCTTGGATACACGTGTTCAAAGGAGAAGATGCTGTGGACTTCTCACAGTTAACATTTGACCCAGGACAAAAAGAGCTTATTGCTGGAGCAAGGTGAGCAATCTATTTTCTTTTTTGTGCTGCACCAGACAAGATTTTGTTCTTTGTTGATAAGCAATATTTAGCCAAATTCCAATATCAGTGTGCCCTTGTGTGCCTCCCCTGCCTTCCAGACCCACTAAACTGAATGTTATGTATGTTTATTTCTCTTATCCCTGACTGGAGTTGCAAAATGGACTGCCTACCTGGTATCAAGGTTTATAATCTTACGCTATTCTAACTTTAAGAAGACTGTCCTGGAGTACAAAATCTTTGTATGCATACAGTAGAACAAGCAGGTGCTATATGGCAATGTGACAAAAGTTGCCATTGCATGGAGCTTAGGATGATCCTAAATTTGACTATACAATGTGGCTCTTTGTGTTGGGATGTTTCTAATAATTATTCACTGCAATGACAGGAGTGATCTGTTAAAAGACTGCAGAATCAGTGGTAAAGTTGGTGACATTGTTTGCAGAATAGGAGAGCACTCTGCAAGCTGTGATCAACAGTGACACTGTCTTAGATGTCAACATTGAAGCAGTGACAGTCCTTGAGCACTATTTTTCTTGCCTCTTAGCATATGAGGTGTAGCAAAACATCTTGGTTGGCCAAAAAAAAATTAGCCATCTAAACTTATTATTCACACTGGCCTTCTGAATATATTTTACTTTTGAATGAACAAAGTTCTAGTCACTTCACTTTTCTGTTAGGTTTAGCATTGGAATCTATTTCTATATATTTCTGTTTCCCAGTTTGCTTCTTAGCTGAAAATGAGGTTCAAAATGCAGTCATAAAATGCACTGCAAGAAAACTTTCTTCCATGGGCCGGTGGAAGTTGCTTACCTACAAGGGAAAACTTTCTGAGTATGGAAGTAGGTATGTGTGTTTGTATATATATTTATATATCTTTGGTCCGCATGAAGTGGGGTATTCTGTGCCTTGATGTTGATTTTTCAATTCTGTAAGCTACCCAAGGCAGTAAGGTGTGAGGTTATCAACTGCTGCTACTCTGTTAGGACTGTCACCATAAGAGCCTCTCCCCAGACCCATGGAAATGTGTTGGATTAGTGCACTCTGTACAGTTATCTGTGGTAATTTGACATTTAGGAAAAAAAGCTGAAAACATCTACAGAAGTTATTCCTCTGAGAAAGGCTGCTGGGAGTATCTTCTCTGCTTGAGATCAGACCAATAGCTAGCCAGTTTTAAGAACTGACAGCATTTTGGACCACTGAAAAGTGGGATCACCTTTGAGAATACTACCTTTTAAACCCAAGCCTGGGAACAACTTCTCTCTTTGTTTCTGACTTTGGAAGGTGTTGGAACTCTGGTGCAGCTGGCCCTGCTCCCCCGCATCCTGTGCGGTCTGGGGTGAGGCGGAGTGGGGGCTGAACAAGACTCCAGTGGCTCTCAGGCAAGGGATGGAGACTGTGGGGCTTCCCCCAGCCCAGGCCAGGCTGAGCACTGCTGTGGTCCCTGTCCCAACCTAGGGCCACAGCTGCTGATCTCTCACCGATACATGCCCCCATGGCCCACAGAGATGGCTCCAAGCCGAAAACTGTCTGCTCTCCAGCAGCTGCTGAGCTGAGAGAGACACCTGGAGTCTGACGCCATGAAGACCTGTATGGCTTAGGCCAGATTTAACCTTTTCACTACACAGATGAGACATGCAGACTTAATCCCCGCTCCAGAGAGAGGAAAGTAGAAGCGATCAATATGTGAAGAGACAACACGAAACATCAAGGTCAGTAAAGGAAGGAGTCAAGCCTCAGATGGAAGGAGAATGAGGACATACTTTAATAAGCTGAAATATTCTTTTGGTAAGGCCATGGAGATGGACAATAATGTTCTGAAAAACTCCTTTAATTCATGAAAGAGTATTGGGGAGAATGAAGTATTCAAACTATGGATCTGAGCAAAAGTTTCTCTTGATGAAACTAAGTAGATGGTGGAGTAATTGTGATCCCATGAAAGGCTTAAACAGAGAGAGAGAGAAGTGAGAGCTAATAAAGACCTTCTGCCCCAAGGGAGAGAAGAAGAACCCCTTATATAAAGGGGTTGAAAAACCCTGAAAAGAAGACTTTTTGCCTCATGAAAGACCTCTGGCTGGCTGCTTGTGTTATCGGAACCCTCGCTCTTATACTTCATGTCCTCTAGCGACACGCTACTGCCAAAAACCACCACAATATCCCAATAGCTGTTCAAACAAAACCAAAAAAACAACCAGACAACAAAACCAAACCTTTTTCCTCTTTCCTATCTTATTTTATTCTCCATACTGGAGAATAAAATTCCATAATCTGGAATCCAAATCTGAGCAGAAAATAATCTCATTTAAACCAGTGTTTTTAATGAAGCTTTTTGAATCACTATGGGATAATCTTTGAATGATTTTGTTCAATAAGCAGTGGCTACAAAAAAAATCAGCTGTTAATTCTGCTTTTTACAGAAGATCCCATACATCAGAAGATTTATTTTTTCTTTTAAGTCAATGATGCTTCAGAGCTCTATATCTCTTTTTCTGATTAAAATTAAAATAATAAAAGTATTCAGGGTTATTACAATTACAACAGCAATTTTGTTTTACACAGTTCAGCATAGTTGGCTGTTATTTGTTCATAGAAGGTATTGATTTTCCCTTTCCTCATTCTGCATTTCCATTCTAAATTTTAACCTTTCCAGTGTTCTTGTGTTCGGCTATGGAGATATTCCTTGAGAATAACTAAACTTGACAGCAGTTTTTTCTAATTGTGTGTATTATTGATATCAGTACATCTTTTTGGCTACACATCTTTTTGTTCTTTAGGCATTGTGCCCCATGAGTCGTTATACATCATGGGGTCCTAGATTCAGAGACTAGCAACCAATTGTCAGGGTGCTGTAGTCCCAAAACTGCAAGTGTAGTCTTACTGATTATACACCTTCTGGATGTAGTCCCCACTGCAGGTGGAACTGTGAATCCACTGTGAATATATCAAGTCTTCTCCTCACTTGCAGGAATGGTTTTTGCAGTCTTTCATAGTCTCAACTGGCCATATTGATACTTTTTTCCCCCTTAATGTGCTGGTTCCAGTTACCTTTGACTGAGTGCCATCTTAACAGGCCATTAATATTATCATACTTGTGCTATGGCCTGTAGACAAAATTTAGTACAAGTTTCTTGAACATCTACCTTGAATATCTATGGATTCACATACTCAAAGAGACATTTGAAGAATTCATTTTCTGTCCTAAGCAACAACGGTGCTCTTGTAAAGACAGTGAAGAGAATGCAATGTTAATTCTCTCTTCCAAGTGTCTTTCAATATGTAGTTATTTCTCTGAGAATATTTCCACTTTATTATTGTCTTCTTGTACTAATACTTCAGCACTGAAAAACTAATAACCACGTGCAATTTGATTTCAGTAAGATCTGAACAGTGTAAAGTTCCTGTTCAATTGTGAAAATGATAATTTGTAGCCTTCTAGCAGGGACTTCTCTTTCCTACCCAGTCACTGGTAGAGGATGGGCAATGGGGCACATCACAAAGGTACAAATAAACTTATGTTACTCTATACACTTCCAAGAGATGTACTCTCATTATTATTAATTTGTCCAGCATCCACACAAGAACAGGTGTACTGTGTTTGCATGGCAAGCCTCTGGTATGGAAGGGGGCCACAGGGGTGGCTTCTGTGAGAAGCTGCTGGGAGCTTCCCTCATGTCTGGCAGAGCCAATGCCAGCTGGCAGCAAGATGAATGTGCTGCAGGTCAAGGCTGAGCCCATCAGCAATGGTGATGCCTCTGTGATAACATACTTAAGAAGGTATAAAAGTTATTGACTACAAATAATTATGCCCACAGAAGAAAGGAGTGAAAATATGTGAAAGAAACAGCCTTGCAGACACCAAAGTCTGGAGAAGATAACGTGGAGATACTTCAGATACTGGAGTGTAAATTCCCCTGCAGCTTGGAATGCAGACCATGATGAAGCAGCTGTGTCCCTGCAGCCCATGGAAATCCATGGGTATGCAGAGATCCACCTGCAGCCCATGGAGAAGACCCATACTGGAGCAGGGGGATGCCCAAGTGAGGCTGCAACCCTGTGGGAAGCTCACCCTGGCAAGGCCTGTGGCTCCATGGAGAGAGGAGCCCACACTGCAGCAGGTTTGCTGGCAGGATTTGTGACCCTGTGGGGGAATCAGCAGTCTCTTCCTGAGGGACTGCACCCTATTGAAGGGATCTGTTCTGGAGCAGTCCACGGAGAATTGAAGACTGTAGGGAAGGTCCATGCTGGAGCAGTCCCTGGAAGAACTGTCTTCCATGGGAGGGGAACCCATGCTGGAGCAGGGGAAGAACTCCTCTTCTTGAGATGGAATAATTGCAGAAACAATGTGTGATGAACTGGCCATAACCCCCATTCCCTTGTCCCCCTGTGCCACTGGCAAGGAGGAGGTAAAAAGTCAGGAATAAAGTTTAGCCTGGAAAGGAGGAAGTAATGGGGGGAAGGTGTTTTTAAGATTTCTTTTATTTATCTTTATCTTTATCTTTATCTTTATCTTTATCTTTATCTTTATCTTTATCTTTATCTTTATCTTTATCTTTATCTTTATCTTTATCTTTATCTTTATCTTTATCTTTATCTTTATCTTTATCTTTATCTTTATCTTTATCTTTATCTTTATCTTTATCTTTATCTTTATCTTTATCTTTATCTTTATCTTTATCTTTATCTTTATCTTTATCTTTATCTTTATCTTTATCTTTATCTTTATTTGCAATAAATTTAGTTAATTTCTATAAGTTGTTTATATTTTTCCCGTGAAGGTAATCAGTGAGTGATCTCTCCCTGTCCTTATCGCAATTCATGCACCTTCTGTTATATTTTCTTTCCTGCATAGTTGAGGAGGAGAGTGATAGAGCAGTTTTGGTGAGAACCTGGTCTTCAACCAGGGTCAGCCCACACCATCCTTGCACCTACAGGATTCTGCTTTAGTAATCTGGTGGTATTCTAAACTAGAGGAATGATTTTTC